AGGCTGACACTCTAACCACTGAGCCAAACCAACCAGGGCGGTATGGGGCAGATTTTTAAAAATTCTTTGCCAAAGATAGTTTGCAAAGCTCTATATGACACTCCTTTAAAAAAAAAATCAAGCAAAAAGCTCTAATTTAGCATCTTTTCCCCTGCTAAACAGGGGGTTGTACTAGTAGATCGCCCATGAGATTCGCTAGCTCTGTAATTCTCCATGGTTACAGTCATTTCATGCTTTTTTACAGTGGATTGTTCACTTTGTAAATTGTCCAGGACATTTGATATTTATAGCTGACTTTCTGCTGCCTCTCACTTAGCTCTGCACCACCTCTCCCACTGTGAGACCGTGTGGGCTTGAAGAATAAAGAGCATTTTAATAATAGCCTAATCAAAATGTAATTAAGGAAAGTAATTTGGCACCAAAATATTACATAACACATCAAAGATTAAACTCTAACTATTTCTTACCATCTGCTATTTTGGATTACCACTCTCTCCTCCACTGAGATTTCAATGTTTATATTTATACCAATATACTGAAGTGTGCATTTCTTTCCGAACCTCCTTGTGCTTGCCTTAGCATAATGCACATCGTATTTTATTACAATCATTTGTGCAACATTCAGATTCCTTGCTAGACTTTTAGCTTCACAAGAATGGAGATCACTTCAGTCTTACCTCTGGGTTCTAGTGTTTTACAGCCTCATATAATAATAGGATGTTTGTTTGAACGAACGAGTGGATGGTAAATCAATGAAAGTCTTAGAGGAAGAATCATGAATTAGGCTTTCATTTCTTTAGAGTATCTTACAGTTTCTTGTTCCATTATCTTCCTCTTGTTCCACAATCTCTGAACATAAATTCTAGAGTTTGAATAGAATCTAAGACTTCCCGTGTGTCTGTCCAGGGAGCCACAGTCACAAGATGTCTTCATTGCTTCAACTCAGCTTTTTTAAAACATGCCAAATGCCCAACATCACTTTTATCTGCGAGTCTATTTCCGATTGTTGTCAGCCGCTCTCATCTTCTGCTTCAGTGGGGACACAGTAAACGTTGCTTTCATATTTTGCTTGAGGATCACATCATATCTCTGTGGCTTGCGCCGCCTAAGCAGGGTTCTTTTTTCATCTTAATTTAGCCAGCAGGGCCTTGAAAAGCAAAGTACTTTAAGTTAAGAAATTACTTTCCTTCTCCAGAGAAAGTATAGACAAACAAGTTTAAAGAAAGATCCAATTAAATAAGCCTCTGTCTCTCTGGGAACTAGATCCCCTGAGTCGGGACCCAAGGTCTGCATGTTCCACACTTCATCTCTAACAGGGGCTCCCTTTTCTGACGTACACTGCTTACAGTAAGCAAGGGATGACATCACAACATGCGGTACTCCCAGGGCTTTCAAAATGTGCTGACCCTCTGAAAATTTCCAAATGTCTTCTGTGTGTGCTGTTAGGGACCATCTGGCTAGCTGTAGATAAACAAGTTTCAACATATGGGCCATAACACATACACGGCTCCGCTCCACTCGTGCAGAAAATTAAGGAAAGGTTGCTCTCTTGATATGAGAAATGCGTGCCAACGCAGCAGCACCGAGCCGGGGAGGGCCTGCCCTACGGGGCCCACAGGAGAGCTCAACCCTGCGCCTTCTCCCTCACTCACTGCACATGTCACCTGATCACTCCGAGTCTCCTCAAGTACCTCACCTGCAAATTTAAAAAGGGGGTCAAGTCCATTCTGGCCTTCCTCCTTCCCTTTCTCTCCTTCCTTCCCTCCCTTCTTCTTATCCCCTCCTTCCCATTAAAAAATATTTATTATATACCTACTATATATGTTCCCAGCATAGTGCTAGGTGCTGGGCATATTGGTGAGGAAAGCAGACATGGTCTCTGGCCCTGAAGAAATATTAAGCAATGATAAAGACAAACATTAAATAAATAACTAAGAAGAGAAAGACAGAAAGGGAAAGCACGTATGGAGGTCCTGAGATGGGAAGAGGCATGGGCTGTTTAAAAATGCAGGATTTATAAACATTTATATCCATTAAATTGCGGATTCACTTGGCAATCAAAATGCTGAAATGAAAATCCCCACCATCTACAGATGGTAATTCAGACAATTATTATATTAGCATAAACGACTTGAAAAGCTGCCTGAATTTTCTATTCTTATTCTTGATCTCATGCCTGCAAACAAAGAATCTAATAAAGCTGCATAGAAATATAATCATCAAAATCATATAGAAGCATCTCAAGCACGTGACACCATGGTAAATGCTTTAAGAATTACGAGAGTTTCCAGAAAACCTAGGAACTCTATAAATACTTCCTTCCTTAATATTGACAAAATAAGACTAAGTAGTAAGGCAGCAGTCATTATGTTATGGCTTACAAGTCCTTTACCTCCCAGGCATGGTTTCCCAATACTCTCAGCCTTTTCAGAATATGATGGCTGATACCCCAGAGTGAGAGAGATTAGTCTTAACAGTCATTCTTGTTGAACAGTCATAACCAATGGACATAGACAATGCTGGGGGCGGGGCAGGGGGATTGGGAGGAGGGCATCAATGGGGGAAAAAGGAGAAACATCTGTAACAAAAATAAATTAATAAAAAAAATATATGGCTTTTTCCAACATCTTTCCGGGCCGCCATAATGTTGCACATGAACATCCTGGCTGATACTCTGAAGAGTATCAACAATGCCGAAAAGAGAGGCAAACGCCAGGTTCTTATTAGGCCGAGCTCCAAAGTCATCGTCCGGTTTCTAACTGTGATGATGAAGCGTGGTTACATTGGCGAATTTGAAATTATTGATGACCACAGAGCTGGGAAAATTGTTGTGAACCTCACAGGCTGATCGAACAAGTGTGGAGCAATCAGCCCCAGATTTGATGTGCAACTCAAAGATCTAGAAAAATGGCAGAACCACCTGCTTCCATCCCGTCAGTTTGGTTTCATCGTACTGACAACCTCAGCGGCATCACGGACCATGAAGAAGCAAGACGAAAACACACAGGAGGGAAAATCCTGGGATTCTTTTTTTAGGGACGTAACACACATGTGCAAATAAAATGCCTCAATGGACTCTGGTGCTTCCCTCGGTCGTTTTGAACATGACAGCAGAGTAGAGCTCCTGTGGCAGTGTGCAGCCTTTGTTCATTGGTAAAGGCTGTTTTCCTGAAGTGGACAAGTCTTGACTTGTGATAACTCAACCACCACGCTCATGGCTCAGCAGAGGAAGGAGTCTGGCCCTGGATGGCTGAATCTGGGTTGGGGTCCAGGGGGCGAAGCTGTCCCTTCACGAAGTCTTATGTCAACCCTGGAAGGAGTGGTGCCTTCCCGTTTCTAGCTTGACATAGTACTCATTTCACACACTGCTGTTAACTGCCCTGACCGTACCTGGTTAGTTAACTATGTAAGTGCTCGAAAAGGAAACAGGCAGAAAAACAGCTAGAGCCCCAGTTCACTGAGACTCACCTCACAGTAAATTTGGATGGCATGTCAATAACATTTTAGCAATGTGTTTGTAAAACGACATTTAAAAAAAAAAATGAAACATCTTTGAAAACTAGTTTTACTGTAAACCTGTCACAGGAGTCCTCCTGGAGCTGGAGTGAATGAGTTTGCTGGACCACTTTACTTAGGAAATGCTTATAAAGAGCTCAACCACCAAGAGGGCAGGGTGGCTCCTGTAAATAGACCAGGGCTCCACTCTCCTTTTAATGACATTCTGTGTCCAGTAAGTTAAAATTTTAACATGTAATTGATATGCAATGAATGGAATTTTACTCTTTGTAAAAAATACATGTGTGTGTGTGTGTAAAAAGTTTATTGCAGTGACTCTTCCCAATTCTTGGATAAAACTGAAGTTGTACCTTTGGAAAAAACAATGCCATATGTGAAAGAGTATAAACTGTTTGACATTTTTCTCATTCTCTCAGTTTCTATCTTCCCTTCCACTTGCCTGCCATCCATGCAACACGGTGTCCAGCACCCAGCCCCTGTTGCCAGAATGAGGCAGAGTTCACTTACCAGGTGTTCAAGCCAGGTGGGCAAAAGAGCCATTTTATTTTTTAATTTAATTAATTAATTTAGTTTTGTTACAGATGTTTCTCCTTTTTCCCCCACTGATACCCCCTCCCCCACCCTCCCTGCCCTGTCCCCGGCTTTGTTGTCCATGTCCATTGTTCATGCATATATGCATATAAGTTCTGTAGTTTCTCTCTCCCTCACCAACCCCTCTTCTGGGGATTGTCAGTCTGTACCCTACTTCCACGTCTCTGGGACTACCCAGTTCCTCAGACTGTTATGTTCGTTATATTCCACAAATAAGTGAGATAATGTGATATTTGTCTTTCTCTGCGTGGCTTGTTTCGCTTAGGATAATACTCTCCAGGTCCCTCCAGGTCCATCTTAATAAATAAGATCCTAATAAAAACATTAAGCAAACATGCTTGAAAACCTAGATCCAATCCAATTAACCCTAATGCTGTCTTATGGACAGGAAAAAACATCTCACTCTCTGCAACCCGCAATGGCACTTACTACACTACACGTGACGATCTGAGAAATGCCTGCCTTCTCTCTGAAGGCAAAGTCCTTAAAAGTAAGAACTTGCTTTATGCATCCCTGTTCCCTCCATGTCCACACAGCTGAAGACAGCAAAAGCCCAATCAATGCTCATTCATCAAATCAAGAAATGAATACTCATTAAAAGGAAAAACTTACCAAATGGATGAATCCTCACAATGAAATGCAATTAATTACAGAACTGCCTTAGCTACCTGTTGGGATTCAGCAAATACATGAAGCTTGCCCTTCTGCTACTCGACATATAGTGACATTTACGACATCAGACCTTCAATGAGAAACCATTACTTGTGGCTTTATTACAGCTACAAATAAACTTTATTTGATGTAACGTAATAAAACATTTTCAAATTTAACATTTATCTGATCAGAATTAATCATTTAAATTATGAAGATAAGTATATACAGTCACTTGAGCAAATCTGCGGTTCAGGAATTTGTGCAGCTTGGTCGGAAAGGACAGGCCCCCTCCCCTCTCCAGAAGGCAGACCTTCCCTGTGTCTGGCAAGAAGCAATGTCAATGAAAGTTGGAAGAAATCCATACTCCACGGTGGGATTCCACATTATCCTGTGAGGAAACAGCTACATTTATGGTACGAAAATAGGATGTTCTTGCAGTTCTTTTACCAAATGAAGGTTTGTATTCATTTCATCCTCTTCTTATCTATTGCCTTTCTGCCTCCTTAGCCCATTACATAGTCCTGTTACAAAAAAATACTGTCCTCAAAGGGACCCTTTCTGTTTTTCCCTGCCCGTCCATAGTGCCTACCGCTTTAGGGAGGAAAACAGAATTGGCCAGGCACACATTTGATTTAAGATACAGAGAAGACAAAACAAATCCTCTAGAAGGAACAGAATGGTAATCTGGAGCGGTTACCAAGAGTGAGTGTCCCAGGTGACCTCCGACTCACACAGTTCAGTTTAACACAAAGCTGCATCACAGCCTTTCATGGAAACCTCATGACTCCCCTACTTCCTCCCAAAACACACAGTTATGGACCAGCCTGTGGGTCCATGGCACCCATGTATCAGGAGAGTCAGTAGTTCAGTGCCTACACCCACGTTAAATGAACATCCAGTGAGGTTAGGTACACATCCTCAAGGAAGGAATCCCTTCACCTCTCAGGACCCCTTGGAAGAAATGTGAACACTAGAAAAAGCTTTATTCGGGTTTTATGATTCTCTCCATCCTGAGATCTGTTCCTGAGTTATATATAACAATAAGCGAGTTAATAAAGAAAGTATGTCGGTGGGGAAGTCACAGGGACCCTGCAGAAAAGCCAAACTGTGTGACAGAAGCTTAAAACAGACACTGCTCTGGGAAATCACTTGTATGAGCTTGATGACGGGATTCTGCTTTCTAACACAGGACATGCAACATTGTCAACACTATGCTCACCGCAGTTAGCTTGGAAAAACACCCTTTCTGTCCTACAACAAAATTAATGCTGTCTCGTGAACGATTCCTGAAGATTCACTGCAATGCCTAGACTTAGAAGCATGGGAAGTGCACATTGGAGCTTGCTTCCACTTGCAAGGACTTGGACATATGCAAAGCACCAGAAACTGTTTCCTTTCTGGAGCTCAGCTCTGTTCCTGAGGGTACTGCTGAGCTGGTCTGGCTGTCTGAAACTGAGAACTGTTTTCTTTTGCACACAACAGCACTGATCCACAGTGGGGGGAAGGGAGCAATCACCATCTCCCTCATAATATTCTTGCACAACAGATCACCCTGCTTGTCACGTTTGAACCATCCCAAGGAAAACCGGAAGTCGCATTCCACAGTCTCAGCAAATGACTGCATTCTGTTCCACCTCTGTCTTGCCTCGTTTTGTTCCTCTCCATGATTTCGCGTTTGATCATGAATCATGACTTTTTTTCCTACAGTAGTCAGAGTTTTGTCTATAAAGAGAGAGAGAGAGAAGACAAGAAAATGATTTAGCAGAACCATAAATATTTTTCTTTTGCGGTGGGTGGATTTAATTTTTACAGCGTTCAGTAATTGGAAGCGTTCGTGGCTTCTGAGAAGGGATGAACATCTCTAAAAGGAAAGAAAAAGCTCTGTGGCTCTTTTAATAAATTTCGTAACTGTTACAAGTTGCCAGAGCCTTAATGTATTTGCAAATCAGCCCCAGATAATCCATTTAGAACTTCATTTTTATAATACAACCGTAGCCAAGAATGGCTCTACTCTCAAAAGTTCTTGCAAAATACTACTGCACTTGCCTTACTGGAAAAGAATAGTGATGACTACTACTGAGAAGTGTTCCCCCCTTCAGACCTAGAAGGGTGCATCACAGTAAGCCAGTGTGCAGAGACATGGATACCCCACCTCCCTCACTTCCTCCCCGATTCAAGGAAGTGGCATGAGTCATGGACAAGTCTTGGCCAATGGCTCAGGAGGTCTTTCCCCTTGGGGTACCACCACCTTCCCTCCAGATCTGCACTCTAACAATGTACCTTCGCAGGACTCAACTTACCAACTACATCCTTGTACTTGAGAGCTATAAGGTTTCAGGGCCAGGTCCTGCACCCCAGCCTCTGCCTTCCCGTCCCATCGACAGTACCCTTCTCACTGGGCTCCCAGACTACACAAAGGGGTTTTTCCTGGTGACAGGATCAGTGTCTCCACCAGACATCATCTCTCACTTTGTCCCTCACTTCATACAGTGGCGCCTTAGGACAAGACTGAGGCCACGCTTCGGCTCAGACCGGGCTCCCGGCTCCTGGGCACTGGGAATGGGCGCTGGAAACAGGGTGTGTCCCTGTTGGTTCTCCCCACATACCCGTCAGCACAGCGTAGACCGCATGTCCTGTGCAGCTCCCAGCAGTTCAGGAACTGTCCCTCCAGGCTCAAGCCACAGGACCACCTCAGAGCCTCCCGTTCCTCCCAACCACCTGTTAGTCCTCTTCCAAATGTCTGCACATCCTTGGCTTCTTTCCTAGTCTCAACACCACCCTCCCACGGGGCCCTCCTACAGAGACCTCACTCTTACACTAACCTCCTAGCTCATCTCTCTGCTCCCACTGTGAACCCCTATTTACACTGCAGTCCTGGTCTCTCTCCTGCTAAAAACCTACATGGATCCCCCACCCATCCAGCCCACCTGGCCCTCCAAGCTGACCCCAATCCACTCAGCTTCCAGGTGCTGCTGAAGACATGCCCATCCACATCTGTGCGCCTCTGCTTTGAGCAGCCCAACCCCACCTCCGCCCTGCCATCCCTTCTTGTGAAAATCGTACTCTCTATTCAAACCCACCCAGATGAGCACCCCCTCATAACAGCCACCACAGGTATTTTCCTGCTAAGACCCCCAAGGCTTGTCTTTCTTCTATACCCACCTATACTGCTTGGTTTTACTTTGCACTATGTGTATTTACTATCTACAAAAAAAAAAATTTAGAGAAAGCAAGAGAGGTCAATCACCTGCCTTTCCTACTTCAAAGAGAGGCTGCAAAGTTACATGCAGGCAACGGCACATGAAGCGAACAGGCTGTTAGTGTCACTAACCAATGATTTCATAAAAATAAGTGCTGAGTTCGTTAGTTAATGGTGAGGAAAACACTACCATGGGGGGAAATATCCAGGAAAGAGCAAACTTTTTGTTTTGCTTCTTTCTGTCTTTAAAGCAACATCCCGCCATAGACATCCAGGGTTTGAGGGGCCTTGGTGCTTCTTCCCAGTTTCCAGTTTCCACTGGGACCCATTTCGCGGTACTTTTCTAATCACTGGTAGAATCACCCTGAGACCCAAGCCTGAGCACAAGCCCCAAAGCAGCGCAGTGACAGAAGTCAGGGCAGGAACCCAGGGGACTCCACCGTGACTAACCACTGCCACTGACGGGGATGCCACGAGTCTCTGCGGAGAAGGACAATGCGTCACCAAGCAGAAGAAGGGAGAGGGAGTGAACAGCTACTTCAAAACGATCTCATGAAATTATCTTCTAGGGAAGCACTTTAGAAACTGCTTTTCAATATCGTTCACAATAATGGTGTCAAAGAATAAAAGCCATCAGAATGTGGTATTTATAGCAGTTCAAAAAAAAATATCCATAAAGTTGACAAATTAAAAAGAAAACACATCCCTCCTTATGTCACATTGGGCTTTATAGTACCAGTATTTGAATACTTGCGACAGGGGCACAAAGATTCTAGAACGGCACGTTAAAAGGACAAGCCGCGTGCTCATGGCTGTTTTGCTCCCTCCACTCCCTTCCCCCAGCGAAGAGTCCCAAGTCCCTGCTGGACTCCTGAGCCTCTTCTTTTTTTTTTTTTTTTTATCCTCACCCGAGGATATTTTTCCATTTTCTGTACAGATAGAGTAGGAGGGAGAGAGAGGAAGAGAGAGAGAGAGAGAAACATCGACGTGAAGGGACACATCGAGTGGCTGCCACCCGCACGACCAACCAGGGCCTGGGACAAACTGCAACCGAGGTACATGCCCTTAGCGGGAACCGAACCCAGGTCTCTCCAGACCGCAGGCCGACGCTCTAACCGCTGAGCCAAACTGGCCAGGGCCTGAGCCTCTTCTTATGCTGTCAACACAACGTAGAGAAAGGGATACATTGAAAGTAGCAATACACAGGCTGGTAGACTGTTTACACTGGGAAGGAAGAAAACTATTCTGTAGAAGAGGAAATAGAGCCAAGAAGGTGGAGTCAGGGGGAAAAATAGAAGAGACCGGAACCCAAGTGGCCCTTCGGGGAGAAAGGGCTAGAGAGATAGCGGGAGGAGCCCCGAGTCTCTAGGCTGGCCCCAGAACTATGAGTGCTAGAGAGATGGGTACGAAACAAGGGCTCCTAACAAGGTTTGCTGTGAGCTATGGACAGGACACCATGTCCCATGTCATTCTTCCAGAGACTCCATTAGTTACTAGTTGTTCTGGGTTATCTGCCTGGCGTTTACTTGAATGGAAGCGTGCAGTGTGGGCTGTGTGGGGTATTCTGGTCACTACTCCTTTACCAGCCACCACCACAGCCCAGCCCTGCGGACCATGAGATTCGAGAGGCAAGATCTCCAGAGGCAGGAGATTCCATCCCCCACTGGGCCAGGCACCGTGCCTTGCACAGGGTAGGCCCACAGATATTTCTAGAGCAAACAAGCCACTGAAGAGACTCTTGACTTCCAGCCCCTGCTTCTGATTCATCCCATGCGGGGCCACTGAATCAGCTTCCATCGCTTTGACGATTCCATCCTCGCGTTTGCGGAGATTCAGCCAATGGATGACCACTGTGCACACTAGGGTTTCTCTGCTTCAGCATTACAGACATTTTGGGCTGAGGAGGTCCTTGTGGGGGGCTGCCTGGGAGTTACAGGGTGTTCCACAGCACCCGTGGCATCTGCCCACTAGATATCAGTAAGTACTCCCCTTCTCTGGGAGTAACAACCAAAAATGTCTCCAGACCTTTTCAAGGGTCCCCTGGGGGCAAAATTACCCCTGGTTGAGAACCACCTGTCTACAGTAAAATCTAAAATTCTTGGGACTGAAATGGAAGATGCTTCAGAATTTAATTTCATTCTACTTTTCCACTGTGATCTCCCAATCTTTCCTCACACCAATACTTACCTTCAGCCAGACTGTCCTTTGCACAATAAGGTCCCGCACTGGTGCCCCTCCATGCAGTGCCCCCTGCACCTGGAAAGCCATGTCTGCTCTCCTTCAGTTACAAATGCTTGGATGACCTTCACAGACATACTCGAGCCCATATCCTTCAGGAAGTCTTCCCTGGTCAGGGTTAGGGTAGGCTTGAGATATTATCCTCTCCTTTGAACCTACAGCTTTCCTCGTCTCCACTTGCCTTCGTTCGTCTTACAAAAACGTGTGTGTTTATGTACAGTCCGTCCAACAGAAACGCATGTACGAAGACGGGAAAGAGCGCGCGTATTTTCCGCATCCTCCTCAGTGCGTGGCACAATTATACACAAGGAGGTAAAAGGGGCATTCCCACACTGGGACTGCTATAGAATTTTTTAAAGCACGCCTATTCCAACTCTCTCATTAGAACATTTAGGCCAATCATCCCCAGTGATTTTAATATTCTATCATTATAAATACAATCAGTAAGATAAATGCAAACAGAGAAAGAGATGTAATGAGGGGATAGTTGTTTTCCTAGATCAGGGGACAGTAAACTAGGACTGTGGGTCAAATCCAGCTGGCCACCTGTTTTTGTAAATAAAGTTTTATTGGTACTCCACCATACTGATTTGGTCACCTGTGTCTATTACTGTTCTCACTACAAAGGCAGAGGTGAGGAGTGTTAATAGAGACCTATGGCTAGTAAAGCCTGAAATATTTACTGTCTGGCCTTTCACAGTTTAAAAGCTTGCTGCCTCCTGCCTTGGACTAACTGGAAAATGTCCAAGCCTCCACACTCACTCACAGCACAGCGGCAAACCTCCTTGGGTGCTCTGTTAGCTGACTTACTTCTATGACAGGCACAGTCGCATGGAAGTTAAAGGCACTTCTGATTTCCTGGCTTCCAATCCAGCTCTATCACTTTCTCCATGTATGACTTCGGGAACATTCTTTGACCTCCCAAGCCCTTGTTTTGTCAACTTCCGAACTGAGATGAAGAAAACCAACCTCTCCTTACATTTTAAGGATTCGGTGATATAGTTCAGGGTCTCAGCATAGTGCCTAAGAGTAAGTCTTTGATAACTGTGTTACTATTCTTTAGCTGGAAAAAATATTGTGTGACATTTGCAAAATGAGAAGTGACACCAACACACTTTCCTGTTCCTTTGCTAAACAACTCAGGGACTAGGCAAAATACCCAGCTACTTGTCCCAGAAAGGAGTTGCTTCCAAAAGGTAAGGCTTCATACCAATCAATGTAGCTTACTTATCAAGGCTAATAACTTGCTCATTAACACCGGCTTCAAGGCCCTGTTCAGCTGCACCCGCTGATCCAAAGCTATTATGTCATAAGCTCTGCCCAGTCCTCACCAGTTCCCCACCTTAACATCACCTGGCCCAAGCCCTAAGACTCTAGCAATGATCACTTCCTTACTTCCTTCATCTAAGAATCTACAAAGATTCTGTCAGGAAGGTGTCCTCCAAACTTAACTTCCTTCTATTCACAGGTTTTTCTGATGGTCTTCTTAGAGTGCTGACGGCTACAATCCCCAGCTCAAAAATCTTCAACAGTTCTTTGCTGGCCACAGACTGAACACACCTGACACAGTGTTGCACAACAGCTAATAGCACATGCACTGGGGTGATTCATACCACGTCTACCACAAAGGAGATGTGTGGTCTTAGGTAAGTTACTTCATGTCCCTGAGTCTCAGTGGTTCTTCTGAAACTTGAGGATGCTAGAAGCACCTACTTTACAGGTAGAATGGCGTATAGCACGTGATAAAGGTGTTCAATAACTGTTAGCCATCATTGCTCTTATTTATCACCTATTATGTGCTATCCTAGATCTGCGAGTTGAAATCCGACTAACACAGCTCCTTCCCTGAAGGCATTTAGAATCCAGTGAGCACACACTAGTGGTCAATTCAGTAAGAATTTTAGAGTACTGGAAAGATCCCTGGGGGCATAGGTTGGTCGCATCCTAGAACCTAAAATTGTATTCTTTAAAAGAAAGTTTTTTTAACATTTTTATTGTGAACAATTTCACATGTACAAAGAAGTATATGTAATAGATGTGAAAATAAATACCTGTGAAGCTACACCCAGGTTCAAAAATTAGAACATCTGCCCTGGCCAGTTTGGCTCAGCAGTTAGAGCGTTGGCCCACGGACCAGAGAAGGCGGGGTTCGGTTCCTGCTAAGGGCACGTACCTTGGTTGCAGTTTGTCCCCGGCCCCGGTTGGGGTCATGTGGGTGACAACCACTCGATGTGTCTCTCTCACATCGATGTTTCTCTCTCTCTCTCTCTTCCTCCCTCTCTACCTCCCGTTCTATCTGAAGATAAATGCAAAAATGTCCTCGGGTGAGGATTAAAAAAAAAAACCAAATTAGGACATCTGTAATACTTTCAACAACAAAAAATGTATATTAAAAACATTAGCACATCTGTAGGCTCACAACTCTGAGTTCCTAGGACAAGAAATGATGATATCTGGTTTCCGTCACCCCTGTTAGGGGATGCTTCTGCCTGCTGTATTGTGGTGAAGACAGAGAATAGGATGAGTTCCTGGAAGTTCTCACAGTCATCTGGGAGCACGCCCTAGGTCTGGAGCCTCTGCTTTCCATTGCAATCCATGAGGGCCTTCAGGACCCTCCTTGAGCAAGGCTGCTCCCAAAACAGCAGGGAGCACAGAGGTGTCCTGTGCCACCTTCGTCACACATTAAAGAGTCTAACACATGGAAAGTAGAGCGAAGTAAGATTCGGATGATGTGGGATCTGGATCTAGTGCCAGAAGGTCGCTGTGGGACATCTCCCTCTCCAGGTCTCAGTCACCTTTTCTGTCAAACGAAGGCCAAGGACACGATGACCAGGAAGGTCCTCTCAGCTACAGTGGTTCATAGTTGTCTGGTCTTTTCCTTCTTGCCAAGTTTAATGAGGAATAACACCTCCTCCTCCCACAGAATCAACACTAATCCTCTCTCTCTCACCCATACCTTCTTTCTTCTCATTCCAGTGTCTTTCCCCTCGACGTCCAAATGAAGATGTCTCCTCTACCTCAACTTTAGAGCAAACTCTTCATTTGGCCTGTTCACGACTCTAATTACAATACTGTCTCCTACCTTCTTCACAACAACAAATTCATTCACATGTGGTTATGTGGGAAAGGTTCATTTCCTTATCACCACTAGCCCTTCGTGACCCTTTTTCAGATCCAACACCGTGCGCTTCCTGGAAAGTCACTAATGCCTCCTAGACAAACTCAGCCACTCAGCTCTCAACTCCTACGAAGACAGCAGCACCTCCTAAAACCTCTCCAGCTTTCAGCCTGTGTGAACCTACTTCCCTTATTTATCAGTGAAGGATGAGGTCATCAAAAAAGGGTTCCTAGATGTACGAGTAAGAGCGATGAAAATGAAAATGTTATGTTCTGAAGATGTGAGAACGTAACTGGGATATTAGTCATGGAGACGGGACGAGCAACATCACCTTCCCTGCCATCAAGCACATCAGCTGCGGTTCATCAGTAAATCAGTCTCCCTTCCAAACCAACCAAGGGCCTAGCTTTGGCCTGCACAATTCTGCCGGGCAGAGGACCGGAATGTGCAGAACTCTGACTTGAACTCTGATGTGCTTAGTAGAAAATAAGCTAGCTACCGATTCAGGAAGATTGCTGAAATACGCGTTCAGAAGGGGGATGAAAGGAAAATAGTGATAAATGACCTTACAGCACAAACTCGGGTCTCTCGGCGAGCTTCAGGGCCTCGTGCATGCCTGCGGCGGAGAGCTTCCGGTTGATGTTCCGGTACTGGCACTGCAGCAGGCTGCGATAGGTGGTCCTCAGGTCCCGGTTGAAGAAGGCATATATAAAAGGGTTAATGAGAGAGTTGGCGTAGCCCAGCCACAGAAATGTCCTCTCCACCCACAGCGGGATGCAGCTGCAGGCTGTGCCGCAGATGAAGGGTCTGGCTGTCGAGAGCAGGAAAAACGGCAGCCAGCACACGGTGAAGGCCCCGACGATGATCCCCAAGGTGGTGGCTGCTTTCTGTTCCCTCTTAAAGATGGAGATGTTTTTCCTTTCGTGCTTGATGAGTCTCGAAAGGTTGGCACACTCCTCCACCTCCTTCTGGAGCTTCACCATGCCGTTCAGGGAGACGATGCTGTCCGGCTCCTGCAGGCGTGGGAAGCCGGGGAACTTGTGTTTGGCGGCGCTTTTCCTGGCGGCCTTGTAGATCTGGTAGTACATGAAGAGCATGACAGACATGGGGATATAAAATGCCACCGCGGTGGAGTAAATCGTGTAGCCAAAATCCTGGCTGATTAGGCACACCTTGTCGTCGTTTACATTCTGAGCCCACCCGAAGAGCGGGGGTAAAGTGATGGAGGCGGAAAGGAGCCAGACGGAGAGAATCATCTTTGCCATGCATTTCCCATTCTGCCTCACGGGGTATGTCAGCGGCCTCGTGATGCCAAGGTACCTAGGAAAGAAGCGGAGAGAGAACATGTGACGACAGGGATCACGACTCGTCGCCTACGAAAGACCGCTAGCTAGGTGCTAGGCTTTACACCTAGGAGCTCCATACCACACAACAGCCCTTCCAGAGAGGCATCATTATTCCCATTTTGCAGAAAGGTCAACTAAGGCTCTGGGATGTTATTTTGTTCCAGGTCACACAATCAGCTAGAGGCACTGCCAGGATTCAGTCTGAGAGCCCTCTGCCTGTAGTTGCTACTCCCTGCTCTTGCCATAACTTGCAGCTTCTTGAATTCCATGTAGTCAATAAACCGGAGATCAAACATCTGCCTTCCTCCTAATGACCACTGCCACCAAAACCAGCCAGGAACAAAATGTCAAGCCGGATGGAGGGTGTTGTGACGCATCCTCAGGAACTAAGCAAGGTCTACCACCCTCTGAGATTACACACCCACTGCTTGCTGTCTTGTTTCAGGCTAGCTTTTAACTCATTTTAACTGTTCCTTTGCACTGGAGCGAAAGACCATCTTTAAGATTACAGAGACGTGGGAGATATTTATAAAATCCTAAGGTTCTGGAATGGAAAGTAGCAAGTGATCACTCTTTTACCCCCAGAAAATTCTCACCTAAGAGTAATGTCAGAGGAACAATCCATAAAATAAAACAGCCTGCCCCGTCTCTCCTCTCTTGAGAAGGCTCACAAGAAGGGCGCAATTCTGAAAAATATTAGGTAAACCCAACATTTTTTCTGTGCTTAGTTCTACATAGAGAATAAATATTTCTCTGCCGCTGTTGTCAAGGATGTAGAATGCAAAAGAGGCACAGCGAACAGAAAACATACAGTAGGGCATTTGCCAATGCTTAGTCATGTTCAGTTTTCCGGCGTGTTCTCCCCTGTGTTTAACCGTCTTGCCTTCTATTTTGGGGAGGATGCGAAGAGCACCTGAGAAGTCAAGACAGGTAAAAGCTGGTCATGTTGCTGTGGTTGGTTTTGTTTTTATTTTGTACTTCATTTATGTGTGTAAAAGATACATTCTCGAAACATGAAAAGGAAAGGCACAAAGAGTCCCCAAATTACCAACAGGTTATTTTCAGAAGGTCTGTCAAGTTGGTAGGCTGAAATTTTAAAAAACATAATTTTTGTGCTAGAAACATCCTCGCATGTTATAGAAGCTTAAATTATCCTATAGAAGTCAAAACAGCATCCATTCACAATGAAAATTAGCATCAGTGTAACACAAGGCAAAATTGAAATATAGTAAAAAGAAATAAGCTAGGGTTGCTTATTCATCGAGAATATTTATCCATTCCTTCAACAAATATTAATAGAGCTCCTTCCAGATGCCAGGTGCTATTTTCCATGTTGGGGATACGGCAGCGAACGAAGCACACACAGAATCTCGAAAGCAGGCACGTGGCACCTGGGGAAATTGTGGAGGCGTTGAACGGCAGGACTGAGCCTGGAGTGAGGCTGAAGGAACTCCTGATCCCTCCCAGGACCCCGGGGGTAGTCATACCCTTTCTCCATTGCCCAGCCTCTGCCTTCCCTTTGCCTGAGAAAGCTGACCCACGAGCATGATCCCCAGCTTATCAGCTGTCATTAGGATTATGTTCTGGTTCCCAGGTAGCATGATGGGAAAGAAGGTTCTCCTGGAATGCAAGAGTAGGAGCTGAACAGGAAGGGAACAGGAAAGCAGAGGAAGGAGGGAGGAAGGGAGGAAGAGGGGAAGGAGGGAGCAGGAGAAGGGAATGTGAAGTACATGGTGCCTTACGTGGGATCAATGGATATTATCTGAGTTTTAAACAACAGGGAAAAAGTGTTATGAAATTAAAATTTAGAAAGGTAAACGAGGAAAACCCTAAACAAAGGTGCTAGAAATGACTGGAAACCCACAATTAAGCTGATCCCTGCTGGAAGACTGAATGCAGACAGTCTGTTAAGGGAGAAAAAAAAAAGAGTTTCCCTTTCTTTGCTTTGGTTCCAGAGCTCCCTCTCCAGTTGGAAGCCCTTTGCAGACCTCTCTTTTTGGACCTAGCCCTTGCTGTCTACCAACTTCTGTGGATATAGACTTTCTGGCTCCTTCCTTGTTTCCCAGCTTCTGCAGGCAGCCTTTGCCAAGACTTAGACTTTGATTATCTTCTCACTTTGCCTATTGCTTCAGGCATAAACTGCTGATTCCCAAGCCTGGACCTGGCTTCCAGGACACCAACCCAGACTGGAGGTTCCACAGGAAGAGATTCGTTCATACAGTTCCCCAGGTAGCCACAAGATGGCATTGCCAGACCAGACCATCTTACACCTACTTACCTAGGGGGATGGGATGGTGGGTAGCTAGAGCAACAACAGGTGCTTGGTGGAAGGAGGAAGGAGGATTAGTCACAACAAGAAAAGAAGTTATATTTCATTTCTGAGGTTTTACAAAAAAATTAGCAAGCCTGGAATTCACAACCTGGTCAATTCCTATACTTGAGAAAGTCAGTTCAGTTTTCCCTTCCATCCTTCACATTTTCCTTGCTCAAACAGGAACTAGAATCCACAGACTTAATAAAATCCAGCCTTCCTGCAGTTCATATAAATGATACAGAATTCACAAAGATTGCCTGGCTGGTGTGGCTCAGTGGATTGTCATCCCATGGACTGGGAGGTCCCAGTTCAATTCCCAGTCAGGGCACATGCCCCAGTTGCAGGCTCGATCCACAGTAGTGGACGTGCAAGAGGCAGCCGATCAAGGTATCTCTCTCACACAGATGTTTCTCTCTCTCCCTTCCTCTCTCTCTAAAAAAAATCAATAAAAAAATGTATAATTTTAAAAAAATTCACAAAGATTAATCCTGAGAGATTGAGTACCAAGGACATCTAAAAGTATTAAATGATATAAGGACAGCATGCTTATTCATTCTAATATACTTAGTCTGACATACATTTCAGTGATGTGAGACTGACCCATATTTGGTCTTTCCTGAATGTACAAATTATATTCCACACTCTCCTATTTTACGCTCCATTCTCTAATTGGTCTCAAGTCATGTCCTACATTAAGGGAGTTATATTTACTTCATGTTTCCTATGTACCCCTTGGTGAGATTTTTGAAAGCTAAAATCAACCAAAAGATGATTAAGGGGAAAAAAGGTGTGCATTAAAGTTTCTGAAAATAAAATAAATAAACAAAATTCAATACTTTTTAAAATTAACAATTTAAAATATTATCGAAGGAAATAATCCCATTCATGGCAAAAATGTAAAAATTTAAATATCTAGAAACATCTATCAAAATGGCCAGAGCCTAAAACAAGCAAACATAAAATGCTACCAAAACACCTAAGAGTATGCTTGCATGCATGGGAGAAAAATTTATTTATAATAAGAAAACCCAGTATTATAAAAGTGCCAATTTTACCTGCAATAATCTAAAAATATTACACAACTCCAGCTGAAAAACCTAGCAGGGCTTTTGTTACTTTGACCAAATGATGTTTAAGTTCATCAAGTAAATATACAATAAGAGACAGAAAACCTAAAAATGAATTAAAATGAAGCAATATTTATCCTATAAATAGTACAAAGCCACAGAAATAATATCTCAATAACAATTATTCAAAAACAGACAGATAGCCCTGGCCGGTTTGGCTCAGCGGTTAGAGCGTTGGCCTGCGGTCCTGAGAGACCCGGGTTCGGTTCCCACTAAGGGCATGTACCTCGGTTGCAGTTTGTCCCCAGCCCTGGTCGGCTGTGCGGGTGGCAACCACTCGATGTGTCCCTTCACATCGATGTTTCTCTCTCTCTGTTCCTCTCTCTCCCTCCCACTCTACCTGAACAAAAAATGGAAGAATGTCCTCGGGTGAGGATTAAAAACAAAACAAAACAAAACAAAAAAAAAAAACAGACAGATAGATCAATAGAACAGAATAGATCCTAGAAATAGATTTAAATATATAAAGAAATTTAATATAAGAAGATGAGTCATTTTAAATCAGTAGTAAAAGATTGTATATACATAAAATCTGACAATTGGCTAGCAATTGAGGTAAAAATAAAACTGGCTTATCTTTCTTCTTATTCAAAAATAAATCCAAAACTATCAGAGAAATTATGAAAACAATCCCATTAACAATTTCATCAAAAAGAGTAAAATACCTAGGAATAAATTTAACCAAGGAAATAAAAGACCTGTACTCTGAAAACTATAAGACACTGATTAAAGAAACTGAAGAAGACATAAATAAATAAAACATATACCATGCTCATGAACTGGAAGAATTAATATTGTTAAAATGTCTATACTACCCAAGCAATCTATAGATTTAATGCAATCTCTATTAAAATACTAATGGCATTTTTCAGAGAACTAGAGCAAATAATTCTAAAATTTATGGAAACTACAAAGACCCCAAATAGCCACAGCAATCTTAAAAAAAAAAAAGAACCAAGTTGAAGGACTCGTGCTCCATGATTTCAAACTATGCTACAAAGCTACAGCAATCAAAACAGTATGGTACTGGCACAAAAACAGATGCACAGATAAATGAAACAGAATAGAGAACCCAGATAAATCCACACTTATATTGTCAATTAATCTATGACTAAGGAGGCAAGAATATACAGTGGGGAAAAGACAGTCTTTCAAATAAATGGTATTGGGAGAACTGGACAGATGTATGCAAAAAAAAATAAAACTAGACTACTTTCTTACAATAAAAACAAAAATAAATTCAAAATGGTTTAAAGACTTAAATGTAAGACCTGAAACCATAAAAGTCCTAAAAAAAAACCATAGGCAGTGAACCTTTTGACATCAGTCTTAGCAATATCTTTTTGGCTATGTCTCCTTAGACAAAGGTAACAAAAGCAAAAATAAACAAATGGGACCACATCAAAATAAAAAGCATTTGCACAGTGAAGGAAACCTCCAACAAGATAAAAAGGCAACCAACTGAATGCAGGAGATATTTGCAAATGATATCCAATCAGAGGTTAATATCTATAATATATAAATAACTCATAA